GAGAGAGAGAGAGAGAGAGAGAGAGAGAGAGAGAGAGAGAGAGAGAGAGAGAGAGAGAGAGAGAGAGAGAGAGAGAGGACACTTGACATTGATAAATCAGTAGCCAAGAATCCTGACTCAGGATCGGGGATTCATTGTTTTGGAGGGATAGAGGAGATGAGGAGATTGAGGTGGAGGAGAGACTACTACGACTTGAAGCTGCCCTAGATTGCTGCGGACAGAGAGGGGGATCCAAACCCGACACAAGAGCGGAAAGGGCCTCTTTTGGGTCTGTAGGATGAAAAGCGCACACCTGTGCCTCTGTTTCACTTTCCACACAGTTGCCCAAGGCCCCTTGCACCGTTTCATCATCACCAACACCTTCCAGCTCCCTTCTCCAAGAGTCCAACCCAGTCACAGTTCCATGTGCGAAAGTCGGGTGGAGTGGAAAACAGGTTGGGGGAGGTGGGTGCGTATGGGTGGGTCGGAGGGTGTGAAGGAAGATCGGATAGAAATGGGAGGCGAATCCTAGCCCACCTCCACCTCCATCAGTGCCTCACTGTCCTCTTCCTTCTGATTCCCTCTCTATTCCTCGCCTACCTCCCCGCCAACCGCAAACCTCGTTTGCCCCTTTCACTGTTTTGCCTAGCAGGCTAGCAGCCTTCCTTTTCGCCCAGAAATGGAGAGAATGAGTAGTATTGACACTTGAAAGATTTTGGTAATTGCTGCAATAATTGTCTGCGCAAGGGTTCTACCTGATCTTTTTTTTTTTTTTTTTTTTTTAATTATGTGGCCCGATGGAGCATGGATCAGATATTAAACTGATCAGAACAGATATACTACACTTGATCTTAGCCAAAAGGCCGAGAAAGGTATTGGTACTACCTGATCCTGATCATGTCTTGTGTTGCTTTGTATGGTGGAAGGACTGAATTTTTCTGGCTGATTCTTGTCTGTAGGTCCCACGACCAGCTGAACTTGCACACAAAGAGAATTTTCTGATGGCACCACAAGGAACACAACCAGTTGTGGGCGATGTGCAGCTCAACGTTCCCATTTCAAAAACTGTTGCCTCCCCATCAGTGCTAGCAGAACTGGTGGAGAAATTTAGGGGCGAAAAATTCATATTGAATTTCAGAGATGGACGAACAGATATGGTACTCCATCCAGAAGCCACAGGGGAGGACGCGGTACGTGGATGGTTGTTGGCTGCGTGTGCGGCGCAGATTGTCAAAGAGAGAGAGGGCATGGAACACTGGAGAGAGGAGGGTGGAAAGGGCGCATCTTCGGCCGAGGTGGGCAGCGAGAAGTCGAGCTTTGCCGAAGAACAGCCACCTTCAACTGTGAGGAGAAGGGCAACTGGCGCGACGAGGGATGGAAGTCGAGGAGCAAAAAACAGCGATCATCCCGGTCGTCACCGCACTCTTCACGACGGGAACAGAGTCGCGGCTGAGGATGAAGACGGGAGTGCACCGGCAAACAATGCGGTTATTCGTGGAAAACACAGCGCTAGGGATAAAAGATGGGCTTCTGAGCGATCAGAAGTTATGGGACCGGGCACGAACAGAATGGTTGTGATTGACGAGGCCTATGCCCGGATGGAGGGGCTTCTTCCTCCCCTGCTGCAGGGCCTCCGAGAAGCAGGCTGGCACACCCACCTATTTGCGGAAGGTACTGCTGTAAGAGCGGCGTGGTAAAATCATTTGACTGTCTCACCGACTAGCCCATTCTTTTGAGTTTCTTTCTTTCGGCTGGAGTCTGTGCGCAGGGTGAGAGAGGAGGAGGAGGAGGAGGAGGTAAGCAGTAGTTTGCTTGCTGCAGAGCAATTGAGATAAGATCTCTTTTTGACGAATAGCATCCACCAGGTAGTGTAATGAGTGATCAAGCAATGATGGAGATGGCCAATTGGGAGACATCCTTGAGAGCTGGTCATATAGGACATGTCTGTCCACGGGGACCACCTCGTTGGCTCTCCACTTTGTGCTGTTTCATGTAATCGAGTGTCTCTTCACAGTTGATTTATATTAGGGCTTTTGTTTTTTTTGTTTTGTTTTTTTTCCATTACTGAGCGACTTCTCTACTTCTTGTCCTTGCTTTGATATTCCTTTCATCAATCATCAGCAAATGAGATTTCTGCCCTTTCGCTTCTCTTCAGAAACTAATCATCGTCATCAGAAAAGCAGAACGCTGAAGATTTCTACTTTCACTGACTGTTTTGAGGGACAAAGAAACTCTTGCATTGCCCCACAGAGCATCATATTTCACAGATTCATAGTAGTTGCGGAGTATCTGTTATACATCCCCTCTCTCTCTCTCTCTCTCTCTCTCTCTCTCTCTCTCTCTCTCTCTCTCTCTCTCTCTCTCTCTCTCTCTCTCTCTCAGATTTATCAGAAACACAGAGCGCTGAAGATTTGTACTTTAACCGACTGTTTTGAGGGACAAAGAAACTCTTTCATTGCCCCACAGAGCATCATATTTCACAGATTCATAGTAGTTGCGGAGTATCTGTTATACATCCCCTCTCTCTCTCTCTCTCTCTCTCTCTCTCTCTCTCTCTCTCTCTCTCTCTCTCTCTCTCTCTCTCTCTCTCTCTCTCAGATTTTCTTTTTTTTCTTCTTTATGTGGAATAAAATTTGTGTGAAAGAATAGTAAACTTAGCAGCCTTTGCCTCACAGTTAGACACCAAAGTTCTTTGCTAAATCAGAAACTGAAAACAATTTTATTTTTATTTTTATTTTTTTGGCCCGTCGGGGCAGGTTGCCCCGGACCGTTCTTGTAGCTTAGCTTCTATTTGAATATGTCACATATCGTGACGTGCAATCCACCAAAGTTTTTTGAAAATAAAATTTAACAGGGGTGTTTTTTTTAGCTTTTTTCTTTTCTTAAAAGCTTCACAACGAATAGTTTGAAAGTGACAAGGACCCGGGAAAAAAAAAAAAAAAAAAAGTGACGAGGACCAATCCCTACGGAACGTAGCCAGGGGGTGTATAGAGGGGGTGTTTCGTATACAGAACTACGCAAGGAAGGCGCGTACAAAATCTTTCTTGAACTGCATTCCCTGTCGGAAAAAAAGAAAAACAAAAAGAAATCACCAAACATGACATCATTCTGCTTAATGGTTCTTTGCATATTGAGAACAACTCAGCAACATGTTTTTCGTGTTGACGTATGCATCCCAAATTTTTACCATAATAATATCTTAAAGTGGTATCCTTTTGGAAAATAACAAACTGGGAGATGGTGTTTACTGAAGTCGGCATGAACAACTCCCCAGGTCTTCAATGGTGGTCCTCGTTGAAATGGCCGAACAGGGGATGCTTGTCCCTCCAAGCTGCGCGTCTGAATAATAGTGAATATGTTAAAGATCTTCAGGTGGCATCCTCGTTCAAAAAAATAACGAAGAAGAGGGGTGGACACTCCTTCATTTTTTTTTTAATTATTATTATTTATTTATTTTTTATAACAAATAGCATGTTTCATTATATAAAGAGCAAAAGGAGGCTGGGAATCCCTCCACGTCTCAACCCAGATTAGACTACCGTCTTCCCCCGAACATAACGCACCCCAAAATTGAATGTATACAAGATATATTTCCGGCCAGATACAGCCAGAATGAGGGTGCGTTGTGTTTGGGGGAAGACGGTAGCATTGCAGGGTAGTTCACAACTTCACATGCTATTCCTAAAAAAGATGAAGCTGGATTAACAACCAACAATTGGTAATAAACGAAAAACTTCCGAAAAAGGTAGACCTAACTCCCCGTATACCCTTTGAATAGCCACTAAGCTCTCCTCTGTCTAACTTCTCCTTGCCTGATTCTTTCTTCCTGGTCCTTGCCTTAAACCCCCTAAATCCTACGGTTGCCACTCCTCATTCCCTTTGCTACGGCCTTCTCATACTCTCTGTCTCCACGAAAAACCGAGGCCTGCGACCCGGATGGTTGCTACTTCGCCATTCCCTAGGGTTCTGCGGTCGAATCTGTCTTTCAGATCCTGTGCTTGATCCGGTTGCTGTCTCATCTGCTCCTGCGTTCTTTTCCACTGTGCTCAAACCTCCGTTTCCATTACGTAGGAGTGATGCTAAAGGTTAGTAGAAGGGGATTAACCTCTCATGGAGCAACAGGTGGAAGGGAGGCAAGTTAAGAAGGCCAGGACACAACAGGTAAGAAACCGCTCTCCGCAACTAAGGATCGCATGATGGAATGTGAATGGGCTGGCACAAGTCTTGAACAATCAAGATAAGTGGGGACACATCACAAAGCAGTGAAAGCACACACGGTGGTTTGAAGCAGATGCCCAACTCCATCAAGGATGTCTCCCAACTGGTGTTCCGGAGTTCCTATCTGCTTCCAGAGCCCCAGTTGGGAGACATCCTTGATGGAGATGGCTTTGTGATGTCTCAAGGACTTCCTATGTTTACAAAGAGACTCACCTAACAGGAACTCCGGAGGACCAACAGACACAGAGCAAACTCCTACAGAAGCTGAGATGGGCCGAGATGTCAGTCTGAGCACCACGGGGGGAGACCCCACTCTGCAGGAGTGGCAATACTACAGAATGGGAGGGCAACAGCCGAGAAAATGGACACTGTTTTTTCAAATTGATTCAAAACCCTAAACCCTAAACCCTAAACCAGGATTAGAGTATGTCCCCAAAAAAATGAAGCGTGATCCTCTGTGAAAACAACGACCAGGGGCATTTCTCTCCCGCCAAAACTGCATGTGAAATATCGGAAAGCTGAAGTGTGATTATTATCACAAATAATGACCTGGGGCTAGGAGCGAGAGAGTTTGTTTTCTCGAAAATCGTGCACCAAAAACACCTTGAAGATCTTGAAATGTGACCCTTGTCTAAAGTCGTTAATAAAGGGAACGTATTTCCTGGAAATCTGCAAACTGAAAAACACTGAAAATTTTGACCCTCTCAATTCCGGGTTGTCTCAATGGGCCCAGTCTGAGCCTTCTCCAGGGTGCCAAAATGGCCACGAGCAAATTCTAGATTTTCTGATTTAGGCCTTAAGTTTGAAGACACATATCCCTGCCGGAGTCCCTGTTATCGTGGCTGGAGACTGCAATGCAGCCCCGGATAGACAGATGGACAGATGGAAGACACCCTCCCCCGCCCCGTCATACGTGGAGGAGGATGAGCGGATGATCAGGGATTTATGTCTCTCATTAAGGGACTTTGATTCTTTTCACAGGCTTAACCCCGACTCTCGATTTTATTCATGCCTACCGAAAGTTGGACCTGAAAGCCAATCGAGGTCCTACCGAAAGTAGGGACTGAAAGCCAGTCGAGATCCAGAATCGACCTGATACTTATCCCAGAAGACATGTATGGGGGGCTCGCTGCGATCCTACCCGCAAGCCCACACCCGGGCCTGGATCACAAGATGTGCACGAAAATTATCTCATTCTGCAAGAAGCCTGATCAAGGGCCTGGCTTTTATAAACTCAACATATCCATCCTGCAACAGAAGTTCCCTTCCAAAAGGACCAAAACTACATTAAAGACTGTTGGGCGTTTTGGCGCATACAAAAAGAACACTTTCAGTAGGAGGCAAACTGGTTTAACAATGGACTGTTTATCTTGGTATGAAGTGCAAAGAGTACTCCAAGATTCTACCAACTTGGAGAAATCAACAGGAAATGGAAATACACTACCAATATCATCAGCTTGAACAGCAGGGCCTTTTAAATGACCCACACACACAGGAGCCGCCAGGGGCCCATTCAAAACTACAGCCTCTGCAACAACAATTTCAGGCTTGTGCAGCGCAATGCTGGGAAGGCACACGCATTAGGGAGCGACTGACCCGTCACCAGACTGAAGGGTCGACAGACAAGAAGTTTTTCAGCATGGCCCGAGCGTGTTCACGAAGGTCAATGATAGAGGCACTATACGATCCGCAGTCAGCTGGTCTGGATGTAGCAACCTCCACATCCCCGTGCATGAAGATTACGGGATCCTTTTTCAAGGACCTGTTCACCTCAAGGTGTGCTCAGCAGGAGGGGGATGCCAGAGAGGAGGAGATTGCGGACTTCCTTAAACCAATGCCGAAAGCCTTGACCGGTCAGCAAAGAGCCCAACTAGACCGCCCAGTGTCACAGGCAAAAATCTGGACGGCGTTAATGCAGATGGACGAAGAAAAAACCTTGGGAGTTAACGGGCTCCTCAAAGAATTTCGGGAAATATTCTGGAACCAAATGGCCCCGGATCTCATGGGTTTCTACCGTCAGGCGTGGCCACATCGGTGAGCTGGTAGGGCAAGGCGTTCTCACTCCGCTGCACAAAAGGGGTGCTACGATAGATATCAAAAACTACCGGCCAAGTCCTTTGGGACATCCGTTAAAATTGGAACAATACAGAGAAGATTAGCATGGCCCATGCGCAAGGATGCCACGCATAAATCGAGAAATAGTCCAAATTTTGAAAAAAAAAAAAAAAAAAAAAAAAACTGCCGACCGATAACCTGCTCACAGTTGTTTACAAAATGCTAGCGAAAGCACTGGCAAACCATCTGATCCCCGTCTTAGATGATGTCATTCACCCAACCCAAACGGGGTTTGTCAAAGGGCGTCGGATCCAGGACAATATTCTGTTGGTTAATGAACTCCTTAAGCTAACCTGGCAAGACAAACATAATGCAGCCATGGTATTTATCGATTTTGAGAAGGCATATGACCACGTGGACTGGCTCTTCTTAGAAAAATGCATGGAGAAAATGAACCTTGGCCCGACTTTTCGGCGCTGGATTAGGATTCTACACCACAACGTCACCATGACCGTCCACATAAATGGCCTCCTAGCACCGGTGAGCTCGTTGCATCGGTCGCTCCGTCAAGGATAACCTTTGACCCCCTTCCTCTTCATAATCGTGATGGAGGCGTTGGCGGCGAATCTCCAGGCCAATAAAGATCTCACAAAAGGCCTTTGTTTGGTGCCATAAGGGAGCATGAGGACACATTTCCATGCATCTGCCCCGTCTTTTAATCCAATTTCACTTCCCAAAAATATACTCAGCAAATCTAATCCAGAATTTGCTACTGGTGCCAAACATTGCCCTAATTATATCCATTAGCACAGCAAGGTCAGCTTCTGTTGGGGGGGGGGGGGGAGTCAAGGGATCCCCAGGCCCACTTCATCTGTGAGCATGGAGATAGCTTCCCATGCCACCTTTGCATATAGGTAAAACACCCATTAATCCCAATTTATTAAAGCCTCTAAGAGCAAGCAATAAATGTCTAAGAGTTACTAAAACTTGAAAAATAAATAAATAAATAAATAAAAAATACTAAAACTATTCCATTAAGTGAGTTGGACATGTTTTCACATTGCAATTGTGAGACCATCGGCTTTGGCTCCTCACTCCCACTGAAGGGAGGCGGAGATGTGCAATCCTCTAATTATATCATTATTATATTATTCCTAACATTATTTTGTCTTATAAAACTTCTAAATTGTAAAACAAATAAAAGGGGGCCCAGTGGACACCCTTGCAGTAGGGACCTGGTAAGAGGGAACTTCCTCCAAAGAGTCTCTCATTAACCATAGCCACTGATAAAGCCTGAGAGTAGATTGCCTTGACAGACCAAAGCCAGTTCTACTCTCTCTCTCTCTCTCTGTGTGTGTGTGTGTGTGTGTGTGTGTGTGTGTGCGTGTGTGTGTGTGTGTGTGTGCCCTCTGTTGTTTGTAAGACAGCACGCCCCACTCTGTCTGACAAACCGACCGCCAAGAAAACGTCCGCGTGAAGCCAGGAGGGATTCTATGCGCCTCACTTTACCAGCCCCAAAGGGCCTCGCTCCACTCTTCACCACGTGCACAAAAGACAAACATAAGGCGGTGTATCTTTCCAGGTTCTAACAGAAGATTCTCTCATTTTGCACATTCGGCAAGTAGGTGCAGCGAGGGCCCAAGTGGAGAAAAGGAGAATGAATCTTCAGCTAGGACATGAAAAGATATAAACGCCACTTTTTTTTTCCTCTCCTGCGCCGGGTGATGAGTGGCTGAGTGAGGCCCTCCTCCGCTGGCAGGAACCGAGCCTACTCAGCCTGGGCCCCAACAGTGGAGTGAGGCCCTCTGCGAGCCTGGACCCACCCCTTGTGTCCAACTCGAATATAAGGATCCAAACCCTAAAAAAACAAAACCACATCTAGTGGGACTTGGCCCCTCCCACTGGTGTCAGGAAGGGCGAGGAGAGCAAAGGAGAGGTGACGAAAGGTGAGGACGGCAGGACTGCCCGCCAGAGAAGGGGTGTAGACAGAGAGGAGAAATGTCATTTGGCATGTGCAGTGCAAGACCCGTTCCTGTGAGCTTTTTACATTGTATCATACTTCTTTTTAAGTTCTTACTTTTTTTCCTTTTTTCCCTTTTAATTATACTGATGTTGTCCCAAACTCCCAAACCCGCGTGGGAAAATAGGGAAAACTGGCTGTTTTCCCAAACTCCTGAATTTTCGGAGGTCGGGCCCGACGACGACTGCCATTGCTAAATCTGATCGGCGGCCGTCGTTTCATTTCGGCCTCTGAAAAGGCGTCGGCTTCCAAAATAAAAAATATAGGATTGTAGGGTTTTCCAAGCCCTACAACCCTATACATGTATATATATATATATATCGTCACAAACAGAACTGCCCGGTAAACGGTAGGCAGAGAGAGAGAAGAGGACAACAAACGAGGGGCTGTAACAAACTGTTTCGTCGGAGTTTCACCGACTCATTACGTATTTTTATGGGCATAAAAAAAACTATTTAAAATCCGGGTCCTCTCGTACCAGGGAAGGGTTCTCTCAATGCTCTCACGCCCACACCGGATATGGACGGAACTGTCTCACGACGTTCTGAACCCAGCTCACGTACCACTTTCATGGGCGAACAGCCCAACCCTTGGAACGTACTACCGCTCCTGGTTATAAATATTTAAAAAACAGGCAGCGGACGGGGCCTCATTGGGCGCAGCCACGGCCAACTTTTTCAGCTGCGGCGGCCGATAGAGGTCTTCCAAAACGACGATTCTATTATAAACACACACTCACAAAAAAAAAAAAGAAAAAAAAAAGACAAGAACAAAAGAACAAAGGGCAAAAAACAAAAACCGTGCTCAATTGTTACATATTCGTTCCCACGCAGCGAAAGCTGAAAGTGATCCCAGAGAGCAGCACTCGGCTCGGCTCCATGGTCTGATGGCTTTGGACACCACCACCAACTTCCCTCCGTTTTGTGCTCGTGTTCTACTTTCCCCTCTTCACTCATTCAAAACCACAACAAAAAACCAAAAAAAAACAAAGAAACAAAAAAAACAACAACAACAAAAAAAAAAAACGTGCTCAATCGTGTCACATAAACGTTCCAACGCAGCGAAAGCCGAAAGTGATCCCAGAGAGTAGCATTCGCCTCGTTGGTCAGATGGCTTTTGGCACCAACAACTATCTCCGTTTCTGTTGTAGCTTCCCCCCTCTCTCTTCATGCATTCTTCTCCTCCCTCGCCGGCCCTCTCCCTCCTTTTCCGATTCTTCCTTATTGTCATGTTGTCGACATACTGGAGCGCCACAAACCCCAAAAGCGAATCCGCAAATCCATCTATCCATCCATCCATCCATCCATCCATTCATTCTACACCTGTTGCTCGATCATCCTCCTGTCACTGAATTACTCGCTCCACATTGTATAGCCACCCACCCACCCTTCCAGGCCAGACCTTCCGGCCGACTCTATTCCCTCATCCGCCGCCAACGCTGCCATCCGTCTTTCGATGGCACCCCGTAGCCCTCCGATCATTCCTAGCACTGCACTGAAGGAATTCTTGCCTGCTGAGGGAGGAGGTTTATTCCACGCACAGCTGCGTGGGCGCAACAAACTTGGAACATCATTTCAACCGAGGACAGGACTTCCTCCTTCGTGTCGCCACAAACGTCGAACTATATCATCATCATCCCAAGCAGGGATGTCTGGCGTGTAGTCGTTGACGTTGACGGGCGCAGCGCATGTATCAACCAACACATGACTTCCCTGCTGATTATCCGCACCTACCCTGCTGATTATCCGCACCTACCCTGCTGATTCTCCGCACCTACCCATTCCTTATATCACTCTATAGAACATTTATTTCTACTATCTCTGCTCTTGAATTAATTTACTCAAAGCTCCCCACAACGAGAAGTTGCAACTGTATTCGTCAAAATACTGAGACCGGGTTTTTGAGGTTAGCTCGCCGTCCTTCGCAGGATTGAAAACTCTTTGTCCCCGCCATTGCCATTGTCGCACGTGTGTCGCCCAGGATGTAAGGCGCCCCCGTCATTGTCGCCCGTGTGTCGCCCGTGTGTCGCCCAGGATGTAAGGGGGCCCCGCCATTGTCGCACGTGTGTCACCCAGAATGTAAGGGGCCCCCGCCATTCTCGCACGTGTGTCGCCTAGGATGCAAGGGGCCCCCGCCATTGTCGCACGTGTGTCGCCCAGGATGTAAGGGGCATGCTGACTTGACGTCATCCTCACCTTCCTCCGCATTATCACCGGCAGTCTCTCAAGAGTGTTCCATAATGATGGCAACTAGAAACGAGGGTGGCGCTCGTCGAGGGACTTAACCCAACATCTGACGACACGAGCTGACGTGTCGACAGCCATGCCTCGCTCCACTACTCTCCACATGCGAAAACGACAATGAAAATAGGAAACGTACCTTTCCATGTATAAAAATAGGAATGTACCTTTCCATGTCTTGGCGGAGGATTCAGTCTCATTTTGCGCTTTTGGAAAGTACTGGAGCGAGAGGCCCAACGCTAACGCTAGCATGAAAGAAATGTTGGTTAGATTCGACAAAGAACGAAAAACTCCGGAAACGAACGCGTTTAAATTCCAGAAATAATAATAATAATAATAATAATAATAATAATAATAATACTGATAATGTGAACAAAGTATCGATTCAAAACCACGGGAAAGACAGCTTTCCCTCCCCGTCTCTCCTTGCCTGTGCCACGTTCGGTGTCATCAAGCAATTACTGCCACGCAAGTAATACTTGGCTCTCTCCGGAAATGCCCAACGAACGCGCGGGGGTTGTCTGTCAAAGGGCGGTTCCACACCGACCAACCAACCAACCAACCAACCAACCAACCCAACAACAACAACAACGCTTGCATTGTCATCACGTAACGTGAATGAGTTACCTCCACTATTCCCTTCCGCCCACTCGTCGCCCCCCCTCTTGTCTAAACCCTAATTAATCCTCACCGCATTTCAGATTTCAAAACCACTCAGCCACAAGCTACACGATCCTCTCTCCTTAAGCTCTCTCTCTCCTGTCGCCTCTCTGACATCAGACACAGTCACCGATTACCATTTCTCTGACTTCACGTTGACCTTCCTTGCCTCTACCCTCCACTTGTCGATTACCATTTCCAAACATATCCCTCAAATCAACTCTCTCTCGGTCGACCGAACTTCACCGCAAGCTTCTCCCTGGTGATCAGCCACGATAACATGATGGACTTACAGTATTTCCAACGACTGCACAAGAAGCAGGCATACATCACCGCCGATCGATCTATTTATAGATTCGAGCTCCGTATTTCACATCGCCTCATTTCTCACCTCACCTCAAGATAAAATACGCCGCCGGCCCAAATCCAACCATCCCAGCTCTTCTCTAGACTGAACCCTTAGCAGCTACTGGGAATTGGAAATTGGAAATTGGGCGATGACCCGAAAAAAAACACAACCCCATTCAGAGACTCAAGCGCACAAGAGGAAAATTGGAAATGAATTTACCGCATCGGACCTCTTCTCTCTCCGCCGCGTAGTCAATTCAATGGGATGGGAATCATCGACGGATGAGAAACTACGATCGAGGACACAGAAAACGACGGACGGACCGACGGACTGACAGATTTTGACCTTCTCTCCCCGCCGCGTAGTCAATTCAATGGGGATGGGAATCATCGACGGATGAGAAACTACCATCCAGGACCCAGAAAACGACGGACCGACGGACTGACATAATTTGATGAATTTCACGAAGGGAATATAATTATTATTACTGAACTATCTAAATAAGTAAAACCCAGGTAAATTCAATCTTGTGTCTAATCTGGGCTGCTTAGTCCGATAATACCTCAAGGCCATCGCCCTTTTAAAAAAAACAAAAAATAAGTAAAACCCAACGACGACGGAAAATCTACCATATACAATGATAAATCAATCAACTCGGGCAGAATCAAACGATTAACAGAGGGACAAATGTTGAATCAAATGATTGACAGAGGTACAAATGTTGAATCAAAGGGTGGTGAGAGAGAGGAGGAGCTTCTTCTGCACCCTTCCTGCTGATCAGCTTTCACTAAACGACAGAAAAAACGCACACCTAAGGTTTCAAACGTTATTCGTCAAAAAAGACCCTAACTCGAGCCTGCGCCCCCGCAATACTCTTATTCCGGGGCCAAGAGATTTGGTGTTTTCTCCCTCTCTCATCACCGCCAAGAAGAAGATTCTACAATCTTTCCTCCTTTCTCCCCATCGTGGCCCCCCCTCCCCCCCCCCCCCCCCCCCCCCCCCCCCCCCCCCCCCCCTCCTCTTCCCCGGTCGAAATTCTCTACACAAAACAGATACTTCTTACCTCTTGAACTGGCATTGGGATTACCCATCTCGCGCAGTGGGGTCTAAAAGCCTTGAGGCTCTCGTACATGCGCAAGCCCGGCTACCCCTCGACACGACCGATGACAATAGATTTGCACACGACCGATGACAATAGATTTGCGTGACACCACGACATTTCGACAAACGGTCATCTTGTTGAGAACAGCTGTAGATATCAAACAAGTTTCCCAATTTGCCGTGTTCTCTCATTCTCCGATTTACGCCTCCCCCTCCCCCTAACCCACATTGCACCCTAAGTTGCCTCAACTCGTACCGCCGCCATCTCATCCAGTCCACGAATCCGATTCCCGCGTCCACCCCACCCACACTGCGCCCTAACTTGCCTCAACTCGTTCCGCCGCTATCTCCTCCACTCCCCCTCTCTCCCCTAACCCCCACTCTCTCCGCTACCACCACCACCACCCTCCTCCCGCTTCCACCTTTTCCCTCCGCTGCGCCCCACCCACCCCTAGCCTCCCTTCTGTACACTCACATCTCCTCGTACGTATCCCTCGATAGCTCAGCAATAGAATTGTCATCAAAACACTCAATACACCCAGCATCCCACATTCCACATTGCGAGCCAATTGGCGACTAATCATGTCTTCCTCAAGTGCTCAACATCACTCCTTCATAAACAAAATGCCTCGCTCGCGTCAACCGACGACCAAAACGTAGAACATGGCAGCGGCAGCGACCACTCATCCTGTCTCTCCATCCTCCGCATGCGTTCTCCTCACATTGGCCCGACGCCAGCCATTTCGCTGTGGCAGCAGCAGCAGCAGCAGCAGCAGCATTCATCCCTACATTTCGCCCCGCGGCGAGGAATCGAATTCACTCGCAAAGGCCCAGGGGGAGCGAGTAAAAGAGAGAGAGAGAGAGAGAGAGAGAGAGAGAGAGAGAGAGCATGCGGCGAAGCGCGCAGCCAAAGAGCAAAACTGTGTAACTACGTAATACTAATATAATCAAAAATGATTTCCTGCTGTCTGATGTGCCTACCAAAGTGCGCCGTCGGTAAGCTAAAGCTACACTGGACTAGGCGAGGAGATGGGACGCGGCGGGTTTGCCCGCGCGGGAGAGTGAGAGAGGAGAGAGAGAGACAAGGCCCCTGCTCTGCTAGCGCTCTCCGAGCCTCTCAAGTAAGAGGGTTTTCATGTTCAACGCCACCCGCGAGGCATTTACCACCATGAAGCCGTGCTGCTTGTTCCACTTCATGCCGCCCATGTCAAATTCAAACTCGTACGGTTCCATTTCATCGGGAAAATCCGAGTGGTAATCAAGCCCGAGCGCAAATGACATCATCCTGAAGCAGAAATTAAACATGGTGGAGTCCGCATGGTAGATGGCAGGAGGTACGACCATCTCGTACAGAATGGTTCCCGATCTTGCCGCCAATATGTTCGTGAAACCCGCTCCGTGCGGGCCGATGATTACACTCGCCTTCGCAAAGAGAGCCCAGACCTGCACCTGACTCAACCTTACCGAGTCGTCATACACCTCCAATCTCAACGGTAGTCTGATTCTCATTCTCGGTTCATCGAGCCTACCCGCCAAGATGGCTTTCAAGTTCCTTCGCTCATCGACATCTCCAATCCCTAAAGAGGAAAGAGGAGAACGCCGCGGCCGAGGAGGAGGAGAAGGGGGTGAAGGAGATCTCGGCGTCGGCGCCGCCTTGCCCGGCGGTACGTCCTCGTCTAATAAGCGGGATGCTGCTATCCCGGCGGCGGCGGTGGCATCTCGTCCGTTGATCTCATTCACCACTTTCCCCAGCTCCTCAACAAGTTCATCATGGTTCGCTATCCTCCTCTCTGCTGACCTCTTAATCAACAGGATCGTTGACCCCATCGAGGCACCGCTACCATCATTATCCCCACTCGTCAGAATTGCACCGTTTCTCTCTTCACCCGTAATCCCCCCCCCACCGTTCACCCCCTCTTTCGCATCAGAGTTTTTAGACCCGTCATCTGCCGAGGAAGAGTTGAAGGTGAGCAGCCGCGCCTCTGTTTGCCCCAACAATCGCCGCCTACCTTCGTTCTCGTTCACCCTTTCTCCATTTCTGACATCATCTCCATCACTGCCCACAACAGCCAATGTCTCGCGAATTCGTTTCCTCTCCTGCCCATCAACCACGACGATGTTTCCATCCCCATGTTCTCTACGTGGCTGCTGCTGTCCCATGCCGCCTCCTTCTTCCCCCCCTCCCCCCTTCCCTTTCCCGTTCTCCCCTAGGGGAGAAGAAGGAGAGTAAGGACGAGCAAGAAAAGAGCCGTCGCGCTCTTCCCTCGCGCTGGCGCCTTCCTCCGCCACTCTACCGCGCCCCCGGTCTCTTCCGTACTCTTCTTCGCTCGTTATCGCCGAGCGCGCCTGCTGTCGAATCAGGTTTCGCAATCGAGAGCCGTACAAGCCGTACAACCACTGCGCGTAGAAGCAGTAGCCTTCTGCGACGACCACCTCTTCCTCCGCGTACACATCGCCTCCCACCACACGCGACCTGTTTATCCCGAGCGTTTCCAGAATGTTCAACGCTGATTCTGTCGGCTTAAGGTCGTGCTTGTTTTCCTCTGATACGATCAGCCAGCTATCATCCACCGTCGTGTGCACATAGATCTCGGGGTCGTCCATCAGCTCTCTGTAGTACCCCATCAGTTGCCCCCCCGCCTCTGCAATCTCGTGGTGAATACCGGGCCAAACATGGTCGATCACGAATACCTTCTTGTACCGTCTTCTCTCCTTCGCTATTTCCGGGTAGATGGCCGGCAAAGGAGCACGGCGACACATACCTCGAAAGTCGAACATGACGTCATCATTATATATCTGCCCGTGTTTGGTGACGAAGGCTCCCCCGGCGAATCTGACCAGATAAGGGTGGCGTTGCTTGCCCTCAAAGGCTGCGACGAACCGCCCACCTCCCGTTCTCTGCTCCTCCCTCATCTGCCTGTCAGCTTCGAGACAGTCGCGCGGCGTGAACCGCTCGGTGTAACAGAAAGCCGGGAAAATCGGCGTTTTCGGTCCTCCGTTCTCACAAAGAAGGTCCGTCCTCATCGCGGTCCTCAACAGACTTCCATCCGCACATGCGAGACAACGAGCCAAAGCCATCGACGCGTACTTACCAGACATGTCCCTGAACGTTTTCACGTCCGCATTCAGAGCCTGCTCCTCCGGTGTGAGCGGCATTGGCCAAACTTCGACCTTCTTCATTCCAGATCGTCGTCTCCTCGTTCCGTTGACGTAAGATAGAAGAGCGTCGTAGTGCTCTAACAGCCTTCTCCGGCCGAAAATAGGGTGATCGGTCACCACCGCCTTCTCCTCGTCAGCCTCCTTAGTGATGATCCCGCCATCCTCTTCCCTTTCCTTCGATTCGGCTGTCCCTACTCGCGGGGAGGGTCGGCCTTTCGCTAAGGCCGGAGGCGCCCATATCTGCGGCGGCGGCGGCGGGTTCGTACCCACTCCGTTCTTCGCCGCCGCCTGCGACTGCTTCTCCACCTCAATCTTTGGCACCCTACGCTCCTCCGTCGTTCTCTCCTCTCTTCTTCTGTTCACCGCATCGGCTCTGGCCTTGCTGCCGACGACGATGAAACCATTCTCATTGCGACGTTGGTCCTCGCCGGTGGTAGTGACGATGTCGACGCCATCCTCCTCCTCCGTCTCTTCCTTCACGTGTTCCTTGCTACTGCCGTTGGCACGGATAAACGTGGTGTCATCCAGTGCGAATCGACGAACCCTATCCTCCCCGCCATCGCCGTCGCCAACGCCCCTCCTGACGTCATTACTAGCGAAGCCTTTGGATGTGTCGCGGCGGAGATTATTCACATTCACTCCCCCCTTGTCGCGCTCGCCTCGGTGCCTCTCCACCCCGACCCGGTCGAGCTCCAACTCTCCTCGATGCCCCTCAACGTCGTCGTTCCTTCTCTCGTCGCCCCTCGACGGAAGCTGTCCTCTTCGCAAAGACGGCCACACGTAGGCAGATACCATTACAAAACCCAACAACACGAACACAACGAGTCTCCGTCTGCGGCGAGAAATGAGAGGCCCTGTCCTCACTCTCCTGCCCTGAGCACCCCACGCGCCCAATCCGCCGTCTGAGATCCCTACTCTCCTCCCCCCTACTCCTCGTAATGGCTGCCGCCATTCCGACTTCATCCTGTGTCACGGCCACGTCAATCGGCGGTAAGCGCAAGTTCATGGGCTGCAGCTGAGCATATGAACCACGCCGCCGCCGTTCGAGTTAACCGGACTCCACCTCGTTCATGGTGACAGCGTTGGGGATGGGGATGATGACCACCGCCGAACCGAATGAATGTGTTCGTTGGCAGTTATTACAGTAGTAGTATTATGTACTAAAGGAATCAAGCATTCTGAGCGATTCAAGAATGCATCGCCGCCAACTGCCCCAGCTCAGGCCGAGATCCCGCTGGCAAAGAAGATTGTTGGAATAACACGTTTTCGTGGAGAGGTGCAAAAGCAAAAGATTGTGATTGATCTGCTTTTCGGCTGGCATCTCTGTGCGGAACGCGCCCAATCCTCTTCTTTGCCAGTGAGATCTCGCCCTCAGCGTTGGTACACCCCGGAACTGTTGAGCTACGGAGGCGCGCTCCACTACTCTCCAAATTTGCAAAATGAGACCGAATCTTCCCCTAGAACATGGACAGGTGAGCGGCCATATTTTTTTGTCTTCTGTGCATGTCGAGAGAAGTGGAGCGAGGGCCACACACCTGAATTCGAACTTCTCAACAAGCGGATGAATGAATGGATTGCCACGAGCAAACTGCGAAACGGCGAGAAGAAGAAAGACCTCCAATGGAGCGGACGCCTGCAGCAGAAGGCGTACCCAAAGGGGTCAACGTGCAGTCGCCGGTCGCCGGTCGCCGGTCACCGGACGTGGGGCGTTGGGCGGGAGAAGGCGACGGTTGTCGAGCACGAGAAAATGTACGTGCGGCCACATAAATTTCGGGAGTGGCGTTGCGCGCCGCGCAAGTCTCTGAGCGCGACGCTAGTGGTATGGCCATCGCCGCACGGCGCACGAAACACGAAGGGAACGAGTGCATGTGCTCGCACAGGGCTGCAAAATGCGTTTGTGACTCTTCTTGGTGAGCAGATGGGAGATGCACTTGGTCTCGTTTTTCGTTTCGTGTTCCGTGCGGCGAGCCCCTACAGGCGGTCCCCACACGGCACACGAAACGAAAAAACGAGACGAGCGCATCTTCCCACAGAAGACGGACAGTTTCGTCCATTTATTATAAATAGCAACTTTCGTCTCGTGTGCCGTTCTGCTACGTAGTCCCTATAAACGAGATGAGCGCATCTTCCCACAGTAGAGGGACAGATTCGTCCATTTACTACAAATAGTAACTAGAATGTACTTGGCCATATTTTTTCTTCTTTTTTTTTTTTTCAAAATCCTTGCTTTATTATATCAGGTCAAATCGAGGCCGGGGACCTCACAATTCAACTCGGAGTTAGCGGAGACCGAAAACTGTGTCGGCGGAAAACCCCGGTTCGTCGGACGGGGAGGCATGCGGCCGGCGCGGAGCGCTCCGCCGTAGCGCTACCGGCTCAGGAGAGTCGGTCTCCTCAGTCACCACCCGAGCACGAAGCCCGGTGAAGTGACAGTCACTCAGCGTCCTGCATGGCTACCATAGCCAGGTCAACCCGCACCACGTGTGGAGCAGGGGGGATATGCGAGTACGTCGACGCGTCCTGTGAGTACTTGGACAGGGCGCTTCGGTGATAAGCACTGAGGTTCCCCCTGTCAGAGCAGGCATTGGGGCACGACAATGCCGACGTTGGTCCTTACCGGAGCACGTGCAGCGGCCACTGGTTTGGAACTAGTGCGGTCTACCGCAACCAGGTATACACTACCTAACGTACCCTATGTACCTTACTTCAGCCCACTTTTTCTCATACCGCCATCTCTCCTCTCCATTCTTCCACAGTCTTGCCTCCCCCCACGCTCAAAGCTGCCGCATCCACCCCCACACCCTCCCCCCTGCTGCGCTCAACCCGATTCCTCTTCCACCCCGTCCATCTCGGTGGATACACAACCCGGTCTCACCCCCAACACATATCTAACTCGGAAGGTTGAGGCACTACGGCACAGAAACCGGCATCGCACCCCAACGCCCACTACCTCCCCTATCGTCACCGACCACCGCACCTCCCCCCCTCCCCCGTCGGCAACAATTCAGCCAAGACAACTCACCATGTACACCCCCAATCCACATGCCGCAGGTCCCTCCCGCCCCCCACCTCCAACGCCTCCGGCCGATCCATCACACCAAGCTATGCCATCGGGAGGTTTCGCCCGAAACCGAACGCTCTTGGATAGTTGTTATGACGACGGACTTTTTCCTGAAACACTGTTCTCTGACGGCGACATCGAGATCATAGATAGGGTAGGTTATCTCAACCTGAATGATGGCGTGGATGCTGCAGCAGAAGCTTGGCTAAAAGAGTGCACAGTAATAGTGACATTTGACTCATGAGCCGCCTCATTCTCGATCGCACAAAGAGAACAGTTTATCTGCATCTACGAAGATGTGTGGCTCCAAGATCCCTCATTCAACCCCTCGCAGAGACGAGGCCAAACACATGGAGAGGGTCCAAATGTGATGTCTTACGTTGCTAGGTCAAACAGAATCGCCCAGTGGATGATCGCGAAGGGACATGATTTTATGATTTTTATCCCTTCAAGGCAAGGTTCGATCAAAGTCACCTTCCGCCCTAGATGACTCAACAGGAGTTAGCCCGTATGAGAGAAACTGAGGCGGCAGCAAAGTACCACATAGTAGCCCTCAGAGTTCCACTAGGTGTCATGTTCTCACTGCGCAACACAGTTCAACAACTGATGGGCCCAATTTTGTCCATGCACCCTCCCGATACGAGGGATGACGAGCCCAGACTGGGAAACGTAAAAATTGATTGCGTCCCACAAGTCAAACACACCTTTAAGGAGTGGATAGCCATTCACGGGCCAACTATATAGAATCTTCGGATTCAATTCGCCAATCAGGACACCCCCTTCTGTAAGAAATGTTTGTGGTAGTTCCACGACGAGTTTGATCCCGATGGCCCATGATTCAATGAGTCGATGCCCCCTGGCAGGCGTGCAGGCAGAGGAGGAGGTCGAGGTCAAGGCCAAGCCACTGGGCGAGGGGGCCTGCTCCCGCCAGTGACGACCAGGCAATGCAACCCTCCACCCCCACACACCCAGTCATACATCCAATCGCCAGCCTCAGCCTCCGCTTACAATCACCCGCGACCCATACTCTCTTCAACTCTTCCCACGCAACACCAACCGCAACCTCCCCACTACCGCACCATTCGTGGCCCCAAACATACACCGACCCTCCCCCCACCACTGCATCTCTACCCTTCACTCACGTCTACAACCCCCATGAGGCACTCACTCCCTTCAACTCCTCCACCCTACCCCCATCTCCATTGTCTACGCACCCCCTCAATCTCCTCCCCTCAGGCCAACTCACTCAGTGGCTCGTCGGTACATCAGTCGCAATCATTGACTCCCCGGCCCATGTGACACACCATCCCCTCCCTCCCCCCACCTCTCTTCCCCTAGCCCTACACGAATCCGCCTTCCTCACATCTCCACCACTCATCTCCTACTCAAGACCAAGCCAGCCCCCCCCTCTCCAACTGGGAACAACGATGCACCGCCCCCCTCCCTCCATCTCCACCTACCAATACAGCACCAAAATAACCCTCCAACACACCCACCGTCAACAGAAGGGCCTGGGCCATCCAACACACTTCTCATCATCTAGCCTTCTTCTTCCCTCCCACCCCTTCCAACCGCATCTCTTCTCCATACACACTAACCCAGAGTTCAGTCCCTCCCACAGCGTGCACACACACACACACATACACACAACCCCAAACTCACCTTGCCCAGCAGACGATGCAGGTTGGGTCTTCCCGGTTGGCGATACAAGTGGTTGCATATGGACTCCGAGAAGAAGACCGCATGAACCTACCACAAGAAGGACGGAAGCTATAGCTGCCAACAGATGCCGCAATGAGGGATCCCAGACTTGGGCTTTGCACTCCAGTTAGTAAACAGCGACGAAGAAACGAAGACGGCGAAGGGTTCATCACCAGGGAAGAGGAAGTTGAGGTGGAGTTTTTCTCCGTACCCTGACTCGCGTGAGAGGGCCTTGAGTCCTTCAACTCTAGAGGATCCTGCAATGGTGGCCAAAAATACAGTAAGACGGTTGACCCGCGGTCAAAACGCCAAGTAGTAACCCTCCGACTAACCTTCAAGCCGCAACAATGACCCCCTTGCTGAGTCAAACCACTTCCTCGAGTCGCAGTGTCGTTCCTCTTAACCACACAACAACTACGCAACTTTAAAGGACTGCTTTCAAATAGAGCGCACCCCTATGTTCTATTCGAAATGCAGGTGTAAACACAACAATACACAACAGGAGTGCGCAACAACAAGGCGTGGTTGCAAAGTCCAGTGGGACACGACAATCCATAGCGATGCGTAATGAATCACAACCAACCACCAGAAGCGCAACGACACCTGAAGGCATGACAACACCCAATCTCCCTTCGAGACAACAACAACTCCCTTGAGATCACAACTTTATTAATCTTAGTAGTACAACACTTCGTCTCATCTGCAGCAACCGAAGGTCAACAACCACAATCACCCAAAGGTTCTGTAACACCAATGACTCGGCAGTCAACACAGTTCGTGATTTGAGGTACTATATTGGTTGCGACCCCAAAACACAAGTTGTGGCTGAAAAATACAGTTCTGGCCGCTCCGAAATGAGACAGCAGCTGAGCGTGAACAGCAATGTGGTCAGTAGTACCAATCAACGTGCATGCGGATGTCGACTGTGCAAACCACCGCCAAGATCAGATGCGTGCCTTTCACAGCTCACGCTCGTACCAGAAACGAAAACCAAACGAGTTTTTCCCCTTTTGCTTCACATGCGACTCTTATTCTCGTCGAGCTCACCTTATAACACCTGCCCTATCTGCTAACAGATGTGTGGTCCTAACCAGACCCTTTCCCCTGCTTGCCTGCACCTGGTCGTAATCAGGTTGAGTAATTTCAAGCCGGAGGATGGTAGTTGTTCGGGTGCAGATGACGAATGTAAAAACGAAGGGGACGACCATTGCGATCATGACCACGAAGGGAATGGTCGTTATCAGGCCTTCGGAGCCAGCTCCGCCAACCACCAATT